GAAACATTTCTGATACGATTTGTGCTATCAGATCATTTAATTAGTGCTGGCTTTTAGTTCATCTTAACAAGCTTCTGTGAGGGTGAAAAAGAAATAATTGTTTATTCAAATGGCAATAATTTGGGTTTCTTTAATTGATTCCTAGTGTGAAAGCATCGATTCCTGCTGTTTGCTAAAATGCTGGGTAAAAAGTTCCAGCATGATGTCCAATTCCAGAAGGCACTGAGTCCATTCCCCACTGCAGCCTCCCATCTGTGATCTGGCCTGCTTCAGCCCTATCATTTCTCCTGTCTTGTCTGTATACTGCTGAATGCTGAGGCAGGACGTAGCTACTGTCGAGTGCTGGTGGGCTTATTAAGTATTCCTATGCAAAGCTGATGATGTGCTCATAAATAATATTGGTGGGACTGAAATCTGTTTTCTTTCCAGCAGGCTGGGTATTCAGAAAAGGAAATGTTTTTGAAAGAAATGAAAAAATCAGACACCCAAAGAGTGTCTAAAAGGGAAGAGGTTTTAGATAACAGAAAACCTTTCTTAGAAAATCAAAACATTTTTTCTATCACTCAATTTAATTCACCAGTCCTTGCTCAAGGACAGGGAGAGAATTGATTTTGCTTCATTATCAGGATACAGTGTAGAAATGTCACTGAGCCTACAAAGACACATATTAACAGTTTCAAAAGTGGGGCTGGTTACTCCTGTTTCTGCTGACCCCTAATTTGTTGGGCGCCAGTCAGTAAAAAGGTCATAGAACTCCTGCTGGGTAAAAGGTCGTACTGGACTAAGGCATGCAAAGAAGCCAAAAAAAACTCCCCCCCCCCCCCCCCCAACCAAGCAAAACAAACAAATATAAAGGGCATTTCTTCAGTTTGAAACTCCATGGAAGCATATTACAGATTTATGCCTAACCCAATGCTGAATTGTGGGTCACTGCTGTAAGACCAGAATTCCTTACATTACTTAATCTAATGAGGTTCATGAGAGAATTAAAAAGGCCCAGTTTGTAAGATCTAAGGGGCTGAGACCTTATCTGCACACTTTCCTGTAAAGCTCCAGGTGCACTGTGAGATCTATATCATCAGTTCCATGCTAAAAACTATGTTGTTTAAAACAAAACAATCAAAGGCTGGAAAGCAAAGCTCTCAAATATCATGAAGCAGCAAAGCAAAGTTTGCCTAATGTAACCTTCCTTCAGCCTCCGGGTTGTGTGGTATAATATACTGTTTCAGTCTCTGACCAGGTACTGCCCCCACATTCATTTTTTTGGCAAGAGCCCCTGCTTCACTCCAGGCACAGGACTGACAGTGCTGTGCATATAAAGAAGCTCTTCAATATTCTTTTTAATCTCAGCTCTTCAGCATGGGGTGCCAGCTTCATCCACTACAAACTATCGCAACTCTGCATGAACAATGATGCTTTTCCATTCTGTGCTGGTTTTTCTTTGCTGTTCAGCTCCAAAGCCCCAAAAGCTTTGCACTAGTTAACACATCTATTCCCAAAACGTCCCTGTGAGGTGAGGAAATATTATCCCTAATTTAGAGAGTAAGATTGAGTTACTTTCTAAAGAGAAGTCAGAAAGAGGCAGGAAAAGCAACCAGATCTCTGGAGTCCCAGTCAACCACCTAAATCATCATTTTTACAACAGGCCTCTGGCCTTTATTCACACCACAGAACTTCTGCTAGAGGTTAGGCAGCAGTGCCAGAGACAGCCCCATTCACTGACATAACATAAATCTACTCCCATGACTCGAGACCAATATATTATATGACCCTGCTCGAGGTTTACTTGGGGTGAAATTCAGTCCTATGCAGAGGGCCAGCATTTACATCTTTTCTCAGAGGTTTGCAGTTCTGTATATGCCTCACACTTACCCTCTGATCCTTCTCTGGAAACAAAGAAGTCATGCTGCTGATCCACTAGACACAATGATCACATGATCAGAGGCACATGTGTACAGACTATGATTAGAAGGGGCAGAGTGAAGGTTACACTGGCTTTTTGAAAGCTCTTCGGTAATCTAAAAAGTAGCAAGTTAGATAATAACACAAACTCTACATTAAAAGTCCTTTTACTCAACTAATTAAGGAACAAAATAATCTCCACCTTTCAGCCATCATCTGTGTAGCAGGAGTGTGTTCTGTACACTTGAATACCTTTGACCTGCAAATCAAGAGCCTTTTATCTTCTTTAAATGAATGTCTTGCCAAGTGGAAGAAAGACCTCAGATTTTTTCAGAGAGGTACCTGCTCAGTTATGTGAAGGAGAAGACTGATACAGCATACAGGTCTCATTCCTTCTGCACTTTGCCAAGTTCATGTGTTTTCATCTATCCATCTGCATGGCCAGGGAAGCTTGTGAAAACCCTTAAGCAGCGGAAGATCCCTATCCCTGTATGTCCACAGGAGATTTCCAGAACTTCATTGCTCCACAGTTCATAGCAAAGCAGCAGACAAATAAAGAATGTTTTCCAAAATCATAATTGAACCAAAGCAGATATGAGATTCACTGGAGCAGTGACATCTTCCAATCTCCCTGCTAAAGTCACATTTTCATTGTCTGCTTTGAGGCTCATCAATCAGTCCAAAGGTCAAGATTGAAGTGCAGCAGAAAAAGTGTAACTCCTCACACACATGCATGCACATGCACTTCCCTGGTCTTTTGAAACATTCCAGGAGTGGGGGAAGCAACAACAACAACCCCACCCCTCAGTTTCCAAAGTAAATTTACCAAAGCAGATATTTAATGTTGAAAACAGGTTGGTTTTATAGTTCTAGTACCTGCCATGGTCTCCTTTTTTTTCTGAATGGGTTTTAATCAGTTTAAATAAATGTAATGAACAGTTGCAAGTGACTGAAGAAAACAGACCTACCATATTCAGAATGCCATTCTTTGTTGCTGTCATTTCTAATTTCAGCTTTTGAATTTCTTCATTTAAAATATGCTTTATATTTTAAAAATATGCATAGGCTTTTCAGGGTGGCTTTTAGCCACGCAGCTACTAAGCATCTCTCATATATTAAGGATTTATTTTTGTAAGAGCCTTCTGAATGAAAGAAGACTTATTCCCACTTGGCAAGTTGTGCAGCTATTGTACCCTACTGGTCCCATAGCTGTGGCTGTAAGATGTCACTACATTTCCAGTCCCTTGCCTGTATTCCTGGGGTGTCTGGGAGAACCAGGATGCTCAGGGTTGCAGCAAGTTGCAGCAGTGTTGATGCAGGCAGCGAATGCTGCAGCCCAAACAAAGTTTCTGCAGCTGGCTTGAGATGGTGAATTAGACACTTGGAATTTAAGAAGCTGGGCTTCTCCCCTGTTTGGGCAAAACTTAGTTTTGCTGCCCTAGCAAAAGGGGCTAGTGTCAGCCTAATGCTGAGCTCACAAAGCACCTACAAACAATCACAGAAAACAATCACAGGAAGTCTGTTACTAAAAAGACCCAGTGCAGGCTCAGGAACCCACCAAGCTAATTGTTAGAGGTGCAGAGTGAATTTTAGAGAAGATTCACCCCAGGTTGCCTCTCTCCTATTTCTCCTCCTTGGCATCTCCTATTAGCCAGTGTTAGAGACTGACTATAGGCTTAGGTGTGTCGCCCTTTGATTCAAATCTCTGTAGCTCTGCACTTACACCATTAAGTTATGCCAGGACTTTTCAGCCTCAAGGAAAGGCCAGGGCAGAGAGCAAGAGCTGAGTCCTGAGCCTTGCTAAGTTGCACTTGCTGCTCCAGCTGTCCTGAAAAGACAAGGGTTCAATGGCAGCTGGGCTCTACCCTGCTCACTCTGCTCTGCCCTGGCAGCAGCAGCTACCAAGACAGCTTCCCTGGGCTCTGCCACAGCCAAAGGATTCACCACAGATTCACTTCTGGTTTGGCTGCCCTTGATAATTGCCTATTTTGCCTATACCCAAACCTTCCCAAGGCCACACAGAGACGGAGGCTACACCCAAATTCCAAGTCTCAATATAGTAGCTTAACCACAAGACTGTCCTCCCTGTCTTCTTTCTCAGGCACATATTGCCTCAGTGTCTATGCCAAATACAGCATAGTGTCTCACAAGACAAGGTTTCCTTCTCCTCTCTCCTCAGCTTCAAAGGGATACGTTCACTTACTGTTTTAAAACAAGGGATAGCTCTGGGAAAAGCTCTATGAGGGGACTACAGTTTACCTTAAAACCTAACCAAAGCAGGCACAAATTCAGTTTCTGGCAGGGTATTTCATGACTACGTCCATACTGCTGAAGTTGTTACATACTATCCAGCCCACATTCTTAAATCCATGTTCCCTCTCCTGCCTAACAACACAGAGATAAGCAAAGGAGAGGGTTGTCTGGCCTGTGTGCTCTGCCTGGTAAACAAGTACCAGCATAGCACAGAGATTACAATGCACACACACACTGTCTGTCATTGTGCTTACACTTACACTCACCTACATCTCTGCTCTAGCTGCATCATTCCTGTGGAGTGCAACAGTCTCTGATGGCTACAGAACACCTTCCAAGATAATCTCCAAACCTAGCAAAATAAGGCAAGAATTTCTGTCAGCTACTGAATTGATGAGAGCTTCGGTAATTCAAAAGGATAACATTTCTAACAGCAGAAGCAAAATGCCGGGTGGGCTAATGCCCAGGCTTACTGATCTGAACCCCAAATTCTGCCAGATGCAGGCAGACGTGATTTCTAGAGGCTTTCTCAACTTTTATGCAAAGTTTGAACCTCCAGAAATCCCAACATATGTAACCCTTGAGGAGGCTTAATGTGAATTCTTTGCTCCCATTGTTCTCCTGTTCACATGTTGGGAGACTTCTTCCTGCTTCCTCCTTGTCAGTGGAGACAGCTTCAACAATATGGATTTTATTGTACACCCCCTACATCCCACTTCTGCCCCTTGTCAATAGCACAGAGGCCCAAATGCCATCTCAGCTGCAAAGAGGAAATGACTATTCACAAGACACAAAGGTTTATGGATTTCTTCCTAACAAAAGATTATTTCTAAGCAGACTCTTCATGTACTGATGCCTCATCTCTTCTAGTAGGAAAGCAGACAGCCCCCAGTGTGCCCAGCACCACCAAGTGAGAGCACTCTTCAGGGCAGGTGTACTGTGCAAGGTAGCCTCTTAATCTTCTCACATGCACAAGCACTATTTTTCATACCAGCTGCATCTTAAACACTCAGTTAAGATGGTGATTAGTGGTGGTGGTAGGGTGTCACAGTGGGAGCTTTCTTAAGAAGAAAAGGCTTTGATTGAGCCAATGAAAGCTGTTGCCAGGGAACCAGATGCCATGAACACACCACTCCAGCAGAGCAAGAATACAAACCATGTGAGTGCTGGACTGAGCTTTAAATGCATTTGCTGGTTGAGGCCTGAACACATCATTAACTCTTTCAGTACTCAAAAGAGTTTACACAATGAATGGGGAAGATGGGAATCTGATACAGACACAGAGGAGCAAATATCTCCCCATATCTCTGCATTACACCCTGTTGATCCAAAAGAAAAACAAACTGGGAGGGGACTTTTGACCTTTAGTTTTTGACTGACAAAGGAGACTTGTTTGTTTTGTAAAGTATGTAAGGAAACTTCTCTTCAAAGTAACAGTTTTACACCAATGTGAAAAGAAATCAGATAAGTGCCCAGATAACCCTATAAAAGTATTAAGCTTGTTTTTAGGCGGTGTTACACATGAAGTTTGATGTGCACAAAGTGTTCATCGGTCAGTTCCTCAGCAAGAGGAACAGAATACCTTAGATTCCATTTTTTCCCAGGTTTGAGCTGGTTTCCAACACAAATGTTACCGATTTGAATTTTATCTGATCAGTTGCCAATTTGTTTCAAAGTTAACTTTCCACTCTGATTACTAAACAGCCTTGTCCTCCACCAACAGAGCATTTTTTTCCTAGTGTAAATTCCACAGTGCTCTGCAACCCTACCAGTAAAACGCAGCTAAAGCTCTAATTAAAAATCATGCCTGCCATATGTCAATTCATAAGAACTAAAATTAAACTAACAAGGGGCTGTAACCAAAACTTTTTTTTGAACACAAGAGCCTGCCTACTCCATTTTGAATTGGTAACATGTGGAAGCCTGGGTAATTCTTGCAGGACAATGACTAGTCCCAAACATTTTCATCTTCGGGCTTCCAGTTCCAACCCAGCACAGGTTCCTAAGTGCGTAAAGCTATTCCTACTCCATAGCCCGAGTGAAAGCCCCTCCATTCCTGTGTAGCCAGGGCTGTGCTTTGATTCCACAGCGTTGGTAACAGTGTTGAGCAAGTAACATGTTGCTGGCAATATTACACCGAACTCCCCCTTTCACTCTCCATTTCAGCCTTTTTATATCCTGTGGTAATGCCAGCCATCTATTGAGCTACGAGCTGGGGTTCAGTGTACTCCTTTTTATGCCTCTCCCACAGTGCAGAAGGCCTGGGGGGAAAGGACATAGCAATACCATTATAATGCTTAAGTGGCCATAAAGTCCCAGTGTGAGTTCTAACAATCTGGACATAAAGGAGAATAAAAATTGAGCCCCTCAAATTTATTCTAGGGGATTGGCAAAAGCAAGTATAGTGCAAAGCTGATTTAAAATTTTCACACAAACTCCTGTGCCAATTCCTGCCCAGCTTGCTGATGATGGAGAAATGGGTTCCTGAGTACCCACTGGCCATCCAACCAGACATAGCATCTCACTGTCAAAATGACACCATTCCTCCCCCCAGAGCCTCTTGGAGTCCCAGACAGCAGCTATACAATATCTGTATTGCATAGGTGAGGACTGGCAGAACATACACACCGTGCAAACTACAGTGCTGAAAAAGGTACCACAAGCTCATACAGAGCCCTTCTGTCTCCCTAGATTCTACAGTGATTTACTTGATGGTCCAGAGGCCTGTTGTGGGCTTGGCCCTGAGAGCCCACATTAGGTCCTGTGTTGCTGTGAAGAGGGGCTGCCTGCCCACTTATAATTTAACTTCTGGGTTTAATCTGCAGATATGCAAGCCAGGCTTATTGCAGTTGTTCCCACTGCAGAGCCCCCATCACGGGCAAGACACAAATGCCTCTTTACAAAAATTCTTGCGTAACCCCCATAAAACTGGGAAAAACAACACTGGAGCTCAGCTTAGGTTAGTAATGAATAAGTGAAGAACTGGAAGAGATTTCTACAGGCAGCGCAGAGTTATCTAAACACAACTTTGGCAATGCATGAGGGCTAACAGCCCAGTTTTCTAACCAGTTCCATACAAAATCTCTTAACAATCAAAACCAGTCAGTGTCTGCACTTTGTACTTTGAGCCTAAAACATACACACAGCTAGATACTGCACAGTGGCAAAGGAAGACATTCTGGTGTGCTGGCTTAGTGGGACATCAGGATAAAAGTGTCACTTACTGAACAAACATGAATCCGTGGCATGTCAGTGACCTCTGCAGAACTCCTGTCAAAGATCCCCCACAGATGTGGCCCTGCTCAGTTTGCAAGAGCAAACAGAACTGCAGCACAAGATGGTATTGTTACACAGGCTAATATCCAGTCTTTTCACTACAAATACCTGCAGATGTACTGAAGTTAACCATCCTGGAGAGTAACACTTAACACTGGCTATTGCTGTCCCCCTCCTGCAATGTGTTGCTCAGCCCCTTGCCAAAGACAATTACCCCAAGGCATATGTATTCCTTACACGCACTCACACTCATGCTGCTTTGTTAGAGGAACTTAATTGAATTTACAAACTGGAGCCTTCAAGAAATATGAAGTGCAAGATGTAATTACTGCATTTACAAAATGCATTTCCCTCCTTTCCACATGCATCAAGGTATAACTCTCAGTTGACATAATTCCATGTTCTCCCCACACCAAGATCCAAGCCTCAGTGCAAAGATTATACCTGCTCCAGGACAAAAGTGACAGTGGCCTATAGGACATGGAGACACCATTTGTTGCAGCAAGCAGAAGATGCACAGCTAGTGATGCAGAAGAGAGTGGGGGAAAAATGAGAGCTTCCTGGACTGAGGGAGCTGAATGCTGCCTTGACAACTGGACTTTGTCCCCAGATATGGCATAGAGTCCCTGTGCTCAGTCCTCAGGCTACCAGGTCCAGAGCCCTTTGACCAATCTCTACAAGTCCATCCCCACACTCCCCTGCAGCCCATGTCCAGTCCAGTTCAGTGAGTCTCCACTCATTCCTCAGTCCTTCCTTTTCCTCCATGCTCAGCCTCCCCAATGCTCCTTATGTCTTCTTCCTCTCCTTGGCACTGGCAATAGATTTTCCATTTCCTTTCTCAGACCCTGCTCTGGTTTCCCTTGCTCAAATTGTTTCCTCCTTTGCTCTCAGGCCCACCTACATTCAGGTCAGCATCTGGTCCTACTTTGAGTTACCTTGTTATTTTTTTCCCAAGTAAACCTCTCATTACAATCACTGTCTCAATGAGACATACTCTGATACTCACTGAAAATGCATGTTTTCCATAGCTGTCCCATACAGATCTATTATTTCAATTGTACATTATTCTGAATTTACACACATCTGTTTTAGTAGCATTTAAAACAGATCTGATGTAGCACAAATGCTGGATTTTTAGTTGTAAAATACATAACCTTCTAAGATATAAACTAGAAGTACTCACTTATACAACTGACAATTATCAAAAGCAATTGCTGTTACAGCCCCTTCTCACAACATTAATGAAATTTAATTAAGCACTACTTAATAACTATGTGGCACAGCGCTGGAGAAGAATTGCTAAAGAAATGCAAAGCAGAGAATCAGTGACAGGCTTTGGAAGTAAATTTAGATTGCTATTCTCACCTAAATCTCTGTTTTCTTAATTTATGTTTGGCTCAATTCATTATAAAGTCATGAAGAGCAATCATGCTCGGATGAAATTTATCCTAAGCTGGGGAGAATTTGGAATGGTTCTGCCAGTACAGGCTCATTTCTCTTGCTATTCTGTTGTGGAAAGTGTCATTTTTGCCAACTGAAGAAAGCAGCTTCTCTGTTTGAAGACATATTTGTTTTGTACATTTTCTATTGCTGTTTGTATATTGTAAAGCACTTCGAGCACATGTAGAATGAAAGACACTGTATAAAATAAAGTTAAAAGTTGTAGTGTTGTAGTATGTTGTAAGTCTTTGTACATGGCAGCAGGGGGCACTTCCACAAGATGATGCTGAAATGCAGTTGACAGACTATAATAGTTTGAAGGCCAGGCAGAAGTGCTCACAGTGTATTCACATCCCACTTATAAAAGCAGAGCATGTTTGCACTGAACAGTTCCTTGCCCCTCTTGTTCCTACTAAAAATTCCCAAAGCAAGATAAGTAGCTTAGTGAGAAAATTCCTTTGAACAAAGTATGAAAAGGGTGAAGAAATGCACACCTGAGCACTGAAGGAAATAAATATCTGAATAGGTCCTCCCATCCCAGTGCTGGCCTGGGGGTTAAAGAACAGGAACTCCATCACAGGAGCTGGGAACACAAGTGAGAGGCTGAGACTCTTACTTTCCTTTGCAGTTACCTAGGAAGCTCTTAGGGACTAAATATTTTCCATTTCAGAATGTTAACTAATGTTTAAATAATCCTTCTTTTCAATGAAAATCAAAATGTGATCATGAATGGTCTAACATTATAAGAGAGATACATGTCTGCTGTAGCTAAAACTAGAGCATCTTAACATTATTGTTTGGGAAAAATCATTGTATCTGTGTTATTTAATGTCAGATGAATTGGTAAACCTGCTAGTTCTAGGATTTGTGTATGGCTTTTTTAAGCCACATCTGTTATACTGATTTAATATAATACTTTGAATAGCACATTCCATCAGAGTTTCACAGCTGGGAATAGAACAGACTCATTTATACAACGCACTGCAGCTTTGTGATATAAATTAGAGCCACAGTCAAAGACAGAGCTTTTTCCTGTGAGTTCACAACAGCAGCACTCTGCACCACGGCCCTAACCTGATCATATTTTGATTCAGCTACACAGAAAAACTTAAGCCTGCAGGATGCAGATCAAAACTTCCCTCCCAGGTTCAGCACTGCAGTTCCACTGGAGTCAGAGAGGCTAGGAAGAAAGCATCAGCTTTTTGTGTATTTTTCATCTTGCCTTGAGGTAGATTTTGAATCTCTGCTGTACCTCCCATAAGAATCATGATAGTTCACCCTATTATGCATTGCTATAGGAACAGTTATGCTAAAAATTTAACTTTTGGTCATTGAGATCCAGAATATGGCACCCTAACCTTACATTGAAGAAAGTATATGAACACCCCAATTACAAGGATCATAGGGAAACCACTTCTTTATTCATTGCAAGAAAGCAGAGTTTCCCTAGAGAAATACTGTATATTTCTATTATGGCTTTCTCCCAAGTGGTTGAAGACAACTCATGTATCAGGGTCCTTGTCACTCACCTCATTCAAGGCACACTAATAGAAAACAGTCTTAAAGCCACTATTTTATCTACACCCTTTCTAGGGCAGACATTCCCCTAACCTCTGCATGCATGGGGATGCATCTCAGGCTGAGATGGACTTGCCCAGCTAGGATAGCATAATTTGTTTGAGATGTGTGTCTGTTGTTGCCTCTCCTACAGCAAAGTATGCTAGAAATTCTGAGGGAAACCCCAGGTTTTTTAAAGAGTCCTCATATTTTACATTTTACAGCAACTCTCTTCACTGTGAAATTAATCTCTGCTGGTGATGACTTAAGGGCTCATGTGAGGAAGAGTAAAATTTCTTGAGCTAGGAGAAGCCAGATTTATGTATTCACAGAAAATACAGCATAAGAGAACTGTAGACCAATTGGAATACTACAATAACACAGGTATTATCTCTTTAAGTGTAGCAACTACCTGACCTACCTGAGGCCAGGGCCATGTTCCTGTTCATGGTGCACCTCCGTTTCTAAAGAGATCAATTATACAAAGAGAAAAAGCAAATGGAAAAAACATTTTAAACAGAAATGTAACAAGCTACAATTGCCTTTTATTCCTAAGACATTTGATCCCTGTACTAGTACACGTCAAATCCATTCCCTTCACAACTAAGAAAAAAAACAAATGTTTCACAATAATAATGGTCATACATGAGATGCAACTCTAGTCTGTGACCCACAGTCTTGAGGAGCCACTGTGATACAACCCACATTGAATACAGGTGTGAATATGATGGCTTTAGCATGCAGCCTTGTCAACAGACATCTTAGTCACATCTCTTAGCCCTACTATGTTACTATGCGTAACACTGCTTGTGTGTAGAACACTTGTGTTTTATGTGGTCAGGACTGCCCCTGTGGATCTAACTGGATCTAAGAAGTGCCCTAACTATAGGAAGTACCCTAAAAGCACATATTTTTCCAATTTCTGTATTCCATAGCCTACCAGACACACTGGGCCCCATAGAAAAAAATGTGAAGTATCCCTGAAGCACTTCTAAATGGTCACCCTTTGTAAATCTGTAAATGCAGAAGACTGGGCCAGGGCTGTTTCACCTGCTCCTCAGCACTGCAGGCAAAACAGACTGATTGCAGGGCTGAAGGGCAGCTGTGGCTGTGGGAAGAAGAGATGCAATGGAAAAGAGCATTACTGGCAAGAGAGGGAAGAAAAAGCTCTGTAGACATAGTCTTGCTGCTCCTGCTGTCACTTGGAAAAAAGGAGGGATAAAAGCCACAACAGCTACTCTCAAGTAAGACTCTAGCACTGTGGTAGCAGCAGCAGCCTGGCATTACATGGGTTTGCTTTTAGGCAAAGCAAGCTGCATGCTCACAGTCACTGCCCAACAAATCTGCTGCCCTAAGCAAATGCTCACCCTACCTTTGCCTAGGGCAGGACTTGCCTGGACCTAATCCATAAAACCCTCTTGCATTCAAGAAGCCATCAGTTCAAGTCCCCACTGAAGTCACGTAGAGCGTTGCCAGATTAAAAGTGGGCAAAATCTTGATGATTAATTCACAGCCTGAACTTCCTGTTGTAGGTGGTCTATTGGAGAACACCATGGCTCAGGTCCTAGCTGTGCTGTACAGTAATTCAGTAATTCTTAGGCACATATAACAGAACTTCATTTGATAAATTTGCTGATGACAGCAGATAAAGCCAAAATGGTGAAAGCATGTAAGGATAGAATAATTTCCTGTGTAGTTAGTAAGCCACAAATTGACAAACTCCAAATTGATTAAGGGTTTTGATTTGCTTTTTCCCCTCCAATGCCTAACCTACGTTTTTCCATCTCTCTCAGGATCATTATAACTGGAAGTCTCATGAAACTTACTTCCGTTTTAGCAAAACTTCAAATGCAAAGCACATCATGAAGGACTGCTTGGGTCTGCCTCTTCCAGAAATCTACACTACAAGAATGGTTGCACTGGTTCTGTACTCTGAGAATCTAGCTGAACCTTCATGGAAAAAGGGAGGCAGAATGGGCCTGCAGGGCCACAGGGATAGAAGAAACCACAGATCAAGTTGCACGCCCTCCAAGACTTGACAAGAGCCATCTTGGCATATGGAGGATAGCAGGTAGGAACTAACAGATTACACAAGGCCCCTGGCTCTGCTCCTCTAGAGCCACAGCAACACCCTGAAAACCTCAGAAAGACTGCTGCTGTTCACTGATATTAACAAGCTGCTAATAAACCTAATACTCAAACATATTCTTTAGCATCATCTTCCCATCTTTCCTTTGAAAGTTATCAGCTATAGTTCATTTGTCATGATTAAATTTGTACCTGTTCTCAAGGTTTTAAATGGTGCTGATATGGTCGCTATGCCTTCACAAAGGGGGGCTTATTTCTCAAACACATTGCTGTATGGAGAGTTGCTTTCTTTGAAGCCTTCATGGAGACAGAATTTGGCTCTCATAAAGTCTACTGGAATTTTGCCATGAGCATCAATAGAACCAGTTCATGTGCAGATTTTGTTTCTACGAACCCTGACAAGGAACAAACCTTCTCTACTTCAACTGAAGTGGAAAAGTTTTCATGCTAACTAGCCAAGGTTTTTTTTCCCTTTGGATTGGAAAGGAAAGTGTCAGCCATGTTAACGTGATACTTATCATACTGGCTCCCATATTTCTCAAGTAATGGTATAATATTCAAAGCAATTACATAATAGAATTTTGTATTCTGCATAACTCATTGCTATTAAAACTAATAAGCTACACCCATGCCAATGACATGATTTTTTTCTGCAGTGCAGCAACTCCACTTTGAAAAACAAAAGCTAAAAAGCACAATGAAGCTTTTTAAGATGATGAGACTTATCCAGTAATCTCTGATGGTGTGAGATATTGTAGAGCTACTACTGACATTTGTCTGGGAAGACTGCTTAACTCATTCTTGGCTCCACCATCAGTGATGTAATGAGTTCATCCCAAAATTGGGCAAGAATTTTTTTCCAACATCCTACATCTTGATCTGTGTTATATATACACCCAGTGATACATTCACAGATGTCTGTGACAGTAAATTTTCATATTAAGCAAGCCCATGCTGGGCCACTTTCCTGATGACACAGGATATTAGTAAGTTAAGATGAATATCAGGTAGCAAGGATCCTTATCCAGCACCATATATTTTCATACTCTGACAAATGCTTGAATACTTCTTGCTTTACGAGCCAGAGCTGACCAGACAGTTTAAAAACCAACCACAGGTTGGATTTTCTACCAACCATTTATTAGTAGTTGTTCATTTTGCTTTCCTATGACTTTGTCTCCACTCTAAATGGCAGAGACACAACGATTTGACACCGGGCTATGTTGTGCTAACAGTGCCTACAGGACGTAACAACCACAAAAATCTTTTCTCATCATCTGCACTCTTCTTCATAGGTAGAGACCAGAGTGAGGGCACTGACATGGGTTGATGGAGATTATATAGCTTATGAGTATTGCAGCAGGCCTGATAGTGAACTGTGCCCAGTTTCTCACGACAGAAAGGGTCATGCACAAATATGACTTGATGCTACCTTTGTAGTTCCTTGATCCTGGAATTAAGAGACTTAATCATCCCCAGCACAACTAACTTTGCTGCTGCCTAGCAGTCTCATGATAGTAAGGCAGCTCAGGATTTTGGCAATATCTTAACATCTCTAACTAGATCTCTTATTATTTGAGAAGGAAACTAGACAGCTCCTATCTTGACTTTATAGCACTTCACTCTGGAGTTTCCAAACACAGAAGGTATCCCTTAGGAATTAACCAACCCTGGAGAGTATGTAATAGGATGAATTTAACTAGACCTGTAATTTCTTATTCCTGAATAAAGTTAAAAGCAGCAGGATAGAGACAAGGATCTGCTTCACAATTTGTTAAGAGTCAACATTTCCTTGTTAAAGCATCTCTGGATATAAAATTGCAGTAGGTTGGTCTTAAGATTTAAATGAGATGCGAGCTGACACTTTCCAAATACATTTTGGAAGTGCACCCTGCAGGTCTAGGAGGGCATGGAGGAAAAAGCAGAGATACTGCCTTGCAGAGTCTGCCACTAGTAGAAGCTGACAGACCCACCCCCAGACAGACTGCCAGACCTGATGTTCAGAACCACTCTCAAGCCCAGCTAGCCATCAGCAGCTGCAGGTGCTCTAAAGAAAACCCCTTTCTCCACACAGGGTAGATGTTTCCTGAAAACAGCACTGGAAGGAGGAATTCAACTTTAAATTGGGAAATAAATTACAGTGTGACTATTTTCCCTCAAGTCCTGGCACAGCATCTTAACAACCTGTGGTCACAGCCCCCAGGGCACTCTTTTACTTGGTCAGCTGTCTATCCACACTATTATTTATTCTGTTTCATTCAAGAAGAGTAAATATAGTCCTGAGATTCTGGAAGAGGAAAACAGTTCATAGCATTTGCAAGTTGTGTGCCTGCATATATATGTGTGTGTGTATAGGCTGTACCGGTGGAGAACTGAGATTTTTTCTTCCTCTTCTATATGTTAACTGAAATTAACTGATTTATTGAAAGTCACACAGAGCAGGCATAAAAACACTGCTCTGGCACTCAGAAAACTTGGGTTTAACTAAATGATCACAACCACTGAAATACAGAGAAAGCAGAGCCTTTGACAAACAGCTGCATCAATTGTGCAGGAGATCTGACAGCAGACAGCAGGTCTGTGATAAATCTGGCAAAGCTAATTAGAAGTTAGTCAGCAGACAACTCTGCAGTAGAAGGATCTGGCTTTGTCTTAATCCTATGACATGCTGTTACTGTGACAGCTCACAAGAAGCAGCTCTGCTACCATCTTTGGCAACCCTGGTAACCTTACCCCCAAAACGGATCAGCCCAAAAGGTTTTTCAGAATTCATCAAATCCATGATAAAGCAGGTTATTATTAGTTATTAATTCTTGAACAAGACTGAGATTGACTTTGGCATAAAAAGGGTAAATGTTCCCCCAAGGTCTAAAGCTCACTTCAGAAGCAGTATACGAGTGGTTACTGTCCTCAAGAGCATGGCCTCCCTGCTGAAGTCTGTCAATAATTAAACAATCTATCTGTTCAGTGGTAACTGGACCAATATGACCACTGGATATTATGCTCTCTCTCTCACATGCATACCCAAGCCATCAACTGGCAGCAGTGTTTAGTTATTGATGTGACAAGACTGGAAACAGCACTTTTGAGACCACTGACTTGCATACTATTTTTTAAATCTGTCTTTCTTTTCTGCTTTATTTCTCAGTAGCCTACAAGGTGCTTGTAAAATGATTCATGCACAAAGCAGTTAACTACAAAATATTAAAAAATAAAAGTGGAAAGCTCCATTTATTTTTATTTTTATTTTTTTCTTTTTAGGAACTACATCTTGCAAAATCATTTGAAAGCTCTGATGTTGCCTCATGGATGTTCTTATTTCTTGATAACCCCAGTTTATTATCTAAACTTCAGAAATATCCAAAGACCTCATCCGTATTGTGTAAAGCACTGTACAAAGACATAATCAATCAACAATCCTGTCTTCTAAGAGTTTATATATGAAATTGCAACCATGAGAAATGCAAACACATATGCCAAAGCCTAATGTTATTTGTAGGTAAAACATTAGGAGGAGCCGAGACTATTTCAGCGCTACCACAACCACATAGCTCAGGGTGAACAGCAAGAGCAATGTTTAAATCACAGGAAGCGATTTGGCTAGTCGTAATGATCTCAGATACCAAATATTCTGCACAAAATACTTTGTTTCCCAGCAACCCTCAAATTGCTGTTAAAATCTTAATCCTACTGCTTTACATATGATACGAAAATTTGACCTTTTATACAAGTGCATACTAATAACAGCAGCTGAATTGTTTGAAAGGTACAATAAAACTCAAAGCTATTCATATTCATAAATTAATATTTTTCATGTTACTAATTAAGAGCATTTTAACAAGCACACATGTGCCCTGCATGGGCATGAATGACCGCGCACACACATACACACAAATGCTTTTCAGTTCTAGCATTTGTGTGAACCTTGAGCTAGCTCTATCATGTCTTACATAGTAAGATAGCAGAGATAAAGAGTGAACCTTTACAAAGGCAGACTTTAATCAGTCTTCTAATCAGAGTCTGAACTAATGAGGAAGATCTTAGTGCAATCGAGATAGCTCTTGCTTAACTGCATCTGACATTTTGGAATAGATTAGGTTCTAATGGTCTACGGCAGAGCTTTCTCTTTAGGAACCTTGGGATGTCATTAATAAATATTGGCCATCGTATAGGGACTCCACACCTCTGCAGCTGAGACAAAACATCTTATAGGAAATCACTGCCTACTGTGTTGTGAACCACATCAGTGAAGCCAGGCAACATCCATCAAAGATTAAAAGAGCAGAAAACGGAACACTGCTGTGACCAAACACTTGAAATCATGTGCCGACTGACACAAACAATTAGAATTCAGCAGGGGTATTCTCAGGCATTCACAAATCATGACTGCAGGAGACCTCAGGAAATGGGGCCACGATTAACCCATCCTGCTGTCCCCAGCCATAACAACAGGCTGCTATGGGGAAGAAGCTGCAAGGTTTCTCTTCAGAAAAGGCAGACATTTTCCGGAATTCTCAACTTCTGATCAAGATGTAAAAATTAGTCTGTTATACAGAGAGATCACAGAGGAGGAAATACAAGCTTAATTCTCTGGGTTTTGAGCAAGAAGGAAGATCTGTATTAGGGTTCTCATTTGGCAGCAAGGCGAAAAGCTCAAAGGCTGCAGGCCTGGGGTCTCCGAGAAAGGCAGCTGCTCTTGCTCCCCAGCATCTGGTGACAATCTCAATGCATCTTTGCAGAGCACCAATAGGCTGTATTGGTTAGGACGCATCTTGTCCTTACATAAAAAGCAGATTACTACAGGAAGACAAGTTGGACATTACATT